ACTACTACACTCGAGAGCAATGAATCGGGGTCACTTAAAGAAACTTAAAAATCTTGCAAACTAAGAATGCTAGCTTAATGAAATAAATTCTAATTAATAGACAATTAAATACTCATTAAATGAAGATATCAAAACTTCTTGGTTATTGTAAAGTTATATCATGAAAAAAATCAAATTTGAAAAAGGGAGACTTTCGGAGATTGAACTACGAAATTACTGCGTTTGTTTTTTCTTCTGTTTCTAATCTGTCTTTTATCATTCATATAAACCATGTCGATAGTGCTCAATATTAATTATTCCAGCTATAATCATGTCGCTTACACCTGAAGAATGCACCAGAATTCTCACAATGCTAGAAACCGACCGGAGTCAGCACGATACAGCCAGGACTGTCGGTGTGTCGCTGTCAACAGTACATAGAGTTCTCCGACATCACGAGGAAACTGGCTCTAACCTACGCAAACCAGGAACAGGCAGAACCAGGTGTACCGAAGGCACGAGAAGATCGATACTTGGTGTACACCATGCTTCGAAATCGCTTTCTCACAGGAACTGAAATTACAAATCAGTTTCGACGCCTCTGAGAAAGTAACCCAAGCGCATGGACAGTAAGACGACGACTTGCTGAAACTAGCTTGAAACCATTTAGACCCGCAAACGGCCCTTAACTGGAGCGTGGACATCGTATTTTAAGACTAAGATATGGCAAGAACCACTTAAATTAGACTATTGATGATTGGTCAAAAGTTATGTTCTCCGACGAATCAAAATGTATGCTCTACAAGCACGATGGAAGACACAGTGTATATAGAAGCCCTGGCGAGAGATTCAAGCAAGCATGCATCGAAGAAAAAGTAGCCTACGGTGGTGGGTCTGTACTTGTGTGGACCGGAATTTCTTCTGACAGTCGCACAGAACTGGTGTTCATAGAAAACGGATCTTTAACTAGCGAAAGATATGTGTAAGAAATCTTGAATGAACACGTTGGTCCACTTATGGTCAATTTGGGTGAGGATGCTATTTTTATGCATGACAATGTCCGACCTCATACAGGTTGGATTGTTAATGACCTTCAAGAGATGAACATTACTTTTGTAATGTATGTGGCTAGCGTGCAGCCCGGATATCAAACCGATCGAGCATGCTTGGGACGAACTAGAGAGATGCGTAAAACAACGAAACCCTCCCCCAACTACCCTTTGTGAGCTCAGAATTGCTCATATTGAGGAATGGAAGAATATTCCCCAAAATCGTATAAGAAACTTGGTGATCAGCATGCCAAACCGGGTAAACGCAGTAATGGAAGCACGAGGAGGCAATACGAAGTATTAAAATTCAAGAGAATCATAATGTTGTTCTAAAATGAAATGTTTCCTATTTTTGTTTTTAGGCGAGATCAGCCAGTTTTTTTCTTTATGTATTTTTGGGTAAATAAAATGTGGTGACTCATACATTTTATTACTTTCATTTAAGGAGTACTTAATTGTGTATTAAACACAATTTATTTCATTATGCTAGTATTCTTAGTTTGCGAGATTTTTAGGATTCTTTATGTGAACCGGATTCATTGCTCTCGAGTGTATTTCATTGAAATTGAAATCGTCAAAAATATTTAAATTCGAAATAAGTACAGATACAGGTGACAGGAAAACTCAACTTTTTTCTTGCATAGGGGTTATACTAGAGGTCATTAGCAACAAATTAAGTCCAGTGAACTAGGGGTCAAAACTGTATGCATGCTGCATTATTCGCAATTAATGGTTATATTCATACTTAATGGATTTTGGCAACAAGTCAGAAAAAATCTAAAAAATCCAAGAACCGTCACAACTCAGTCTCCACCCAGTTTTGATCCCTAGTTCACTGGACTTAATTTGTTGCTAATGACCTCTAGTATTTCAAGGTAGGTATAGCTCGAGTTTTCCTGTCAGTCTGTATAGTTTAATTCCACTAAAAACATAATAAAATAACCCTACATGACATTTTTTACTCTATATTAATAACGGCAAGAGGTAGACACTTGAAATATTCACAGAATATGTTTAATATTTAAATGTATGTACTTTCAAAATATTAAAAAAAAAAATTAAAGGCTCCCATACAATAGACGTGATTTTTTGCCAATAAAACCCTCCGTACGCGAGTCCGACTCGCACTTAGCCGCTTTTACATTTTTAATTATCAACCATTCCAAATCAATAATAACAACCCATAATAAAATTATGTGCAAAATCAACTGTCTACTCAATCAACGTTCATGAAATAGAGTCCGCTGACAAACGAGTGGATGCCCCGGTTGCACAGAAAAGGTATAATAGCAGTTAAATACTTAAAAAAATATATATAGGGCATAATAAGTTTGTTTCGTTGCAAGCATTTTTTAAAACTTTGTTTTACTCACATAACATTTTTTCGGTAATTTAAATAATTATGATTTTATTTATTTTTTAAGCATTTAACTGCTAGATGTTTAAATCTAAAGAAAAGTTTACTAGAAAAAAATCCACGCGGACCAGGCAGCGGACGGGAATTTAAATAATTGTAATTGCACATAACTATTATCCGTCTGTTAGTATGTAATAATTAAAATTGGGGAAAACAAATCTTTGTTGTTTATTAAAATTAATATAATTAAATATGTACGTATGATCAATGAAATATAGGTAATTGAAATAAACCTTCAAATAAATGTATTACTTACCTTCGGTACTAAACGATAAAGTAACACTAGAACTGAAAATCACTCCACAGTAGACACACATTTACTGGCATTGGTCACTCGAGAGAAGTCAATTTATTGTGGTTTTAATTTTCTATCAGCTGGTGATAACCTCGCCCGGTCATGGAAGATATATCTTATTCTCGGAACGCTGAGGAGTCAATACAACAAGTGAAACATGACAAATGTCAAATCCTAGAATGGTCCACAGCCTATACGCTTACCACCTGCAAAATGACTCAAGGTATGACTTCATAATATTGACCGGGCCGTTGTCATAGTTGTATTGAAAATATTAAGGAACTTTAATCGTTAACTTGTTAATATTATAGTGTAAATTAAGATTGTCTTGGTAAAACGTAGGCGTTAGTGTACCGAGAAATGAGGTTGAAGATCATCAATATTTTTGATCTACAGAAACGTAATTGCGCAATTCATCAATGAAAAGATACCTCTTCTTCTTCCTCGTTTTAATAACTTCTCAATCATCCTTGGTTAAGGTATTTTTTAAAGATGTGCTTATTAAAACGACTAACGTAATATGTAAGTTTAATAAAGAAAAAATATTACAGTTAATTATCGAGCGACGTAATTTTTGCAATCTATTTGTAATAAATTATTTTATATCAACCATCTCTTTATATCTCTTGTTTTTATTAAAATCCCTTGACATAATTTGCATTTCTTCAAAGTGTGTTGTTTATAAAAACATGCTCGTTTTTCCTTGTAAGAAATTATCCTTTATTTAATATAAATGCGAAAGTGAGATTTTTTGTGTGTTATGCTATAATAATATATGGTTACGCTTCATGATGGCTAATTTTAGTCATGGAATTAAAACTAATCATATCCAGTCCAATACCTAGCTATAAAAATAAACTCGAACAGTGTAAAAAGAGGGTGTTTTTTTTTATGAGAATCCAACTATTTCACGACGAAATCGCACCGGCTAGTTGTAAAATAATATCACTAACAAACAATAACTTTGATTTCTTTCATCCAGGTTAGTCGGTGTAACTTTTTAACCCCAGACGGAAAAAGGGGGGTGTTATAAGTTTGACGTGTTTTATCTCTGTGGCATCATAGATCCTAAACGAAGGGACCGCTTTGGATGCAGTTTTATTTGAAAGCTTACATGATCGAGATGGTTGGTTCTTAGCTTTAATTAAGGGGTTTGGAGATCTTCAGTTGATTTCCGATATGAGAAAAGGTTCTTACAGATTTCACAGTTACTATTGATTTAGAATTTGGTGCACTTTTACTTTGGTGGTATTTCCAAGACTTGGTAACTTTGAGTTGATGATGCAGCATAAAGTACTAAACTCCTCAGCTAATTACACCAAATGTAGCGTACCAAATGGCTCATAAGAATGGTCCTGTTGAATAAATGATGATCGAAGCTTTGTTTGTAGTCTTTCTACCAGTAATTTAAAAATATTCATACAAAAAATAATTTGGAAATGAAAAGACCCGCATACTTACCCGAAGAAATAGTCTAATCTGAATAAAAAATTTTATTAAATAAAAAAAAATGTTTTGTAGTGATTTAGGTATTCTACTGATATAGGTATTAATAATTTTTAACAAACCACAATATGTCCACTATCAACACTATTATTTTAATATTTATAGCACTTTGTAAACATTAAAATTCTACGTATCCCGAGAGATAAAACGAATCAATTTTCAGTTACAATTTCTAGAGTCGTTACGTATGCAAGTAATATAAAGTAATTCTTCCAGAATTAGTTAAGTTAATAGGTGTACTTCCCAATATGAATTTAACTGAAGAGGGCTCAAGTATCAACACGTTCTTAAAAAGAATGTGCGTTGTTTTGCGCGCACAGAGATTTCTTAATACAGTGACAGTAGAGTTTTAGCGGTCTAATGTAATAGTTTAAAAATTAGAGAATCACTAGCAGCCGCCCGCGACTTCGTACGCATGGAGTTAATTAGAAATAAAGGTTCACTGCTCGTTCCCCGTAGGTGATAGCGTGATAATATGTAGCCTATATGTTGACCCGACTTCTTAATAATATTCGTGCCAAAGAAGTAAATCCATGCAGTACTTTTTGAGTTTATCCCGGACATACATACAGACAAAAATTCTAAAAACTATATTTTTGGCTCGGTAAAGATTATAGATCACGCCCCAAGTAATCTTTTAAAAAAATATTCAATGTACAGTTTTGACTTTCCTACCATTTTATTATAAGTATGTATAGATGCCAGATTAAGGCTTTATGATTATCCCAATATAAAGAGATATTCTTGTTTTCAGAAACCCCTTACTACGGTGCGAATCTTTGACCGCAATGACTACTACAGCGTGCACGGTGTCGATGCTCACACGGCGGCAAGAGAAGTATTCTCCTCAATTTCAAACATCAAGAAGATGGGCATTGAACCCAACAAGCTGGATTACTTAGTGCTCTCTAAAGGAAACTTCGAGATTCTCATTAAAAAACTGTTGTTGGTGAGTTTATTTGAACCACCAGAACTAAAATGAAGTTTGTTTTGTTTCGTTCATGATGCTTTACTAGTAAAGCTACATAAATGATGAGGGATGCCTACTTCATCTGAAAAAAATCTTAGAATAGCTACTAGGGCTGCCAACCCTACTATATAATATAGTATCCTACTATATTAGGGGATCAAATACTATATTTCTAAACAAAATATATAGTAGGCGAAACTACTATATTTTGCTTAAAGCATATTTTTGAGAGTAAAAGCTTTCTTTAAAATTATTAGAAATTATTAATAGTAAGGCAAAGAGCAGCAAAAATATATTTATTTCAAAGATAAAGTAAATATTTTAACCACATGTACTATATTTTTTTCTATTTTTGCCAGCTTCTATATTTTAGAAGTAATGCTTCGAAAATACTATATTTTATACAAAAAAAGTTGGTACCTCTAATAGCTACCCACCCCGGCTTTTCACCGGAGCACTGATGCCAGATTGGGGGGATTCCCCCCAAATTTGGGGAGTTTTTAAAAGCTAAGGGGAGTAATTGAGTGGAAAATATTTTTGGGTTGATTAATGGGGGGAAGAAATTTTAGTTAAGGGGAAACGGGGGTTTTTTAATATTTTTTTTTATATAAAAATAAAACCACTTCATAAACTTTTAATCTGTAAAAAGTCGCGATCGACAGTCAATCAATAGTCTCTCTTTCTCATTCTGTATAGAGCATGACAAGGATAGACTGTTGTCAAAGGGCATGGTAAAATTTTGTATGAGAGACTGCCCTAGCAATGTATAAGTATTGTACTCAGTAGTATTTAATGTTGAATGGCTGAATATTTATAATTTCAATGAAAAAATGCTCAGGAACTTTTGATAAAGTCACAATCTTGAAAATTATGAAAATTCCTATTACTTTATTATTGTTACCATTGATAAAAGATGGTGCCAATTATTTATAGAGCCATCAATTTCGCATTTTCTTAGAATCATTTGTCTGATTAACTCTTCACAAAAAGTATTTTTAAAACAAAAATAAATACAAATAATTTGCTGTCGTGGGCCTGACAAGAAATCTGTGAAGTTTTATTTCGTTCATTTGCACAAATCAAAGGATTAGTTATCATACAGCCTTGTCTACAGCCTGATCAGAAAAATAAAATCTAATATTTTAGGCCTTCAGTGATTTGTTATAATAAAAATTAGGGCCAAATATGTCACAGTTTTTAGGAGTTTGAAATTAATATTGTTTATCTCGATAACTCAAAATTAATAATATATCAAATATTTTTTGTGCACATTTATTTTTGTAAAACGGAACATTTTCCTTTTGAAACAGACATGAAGTAAATTTTTATACTTTTATAATTTGATTATTTCACGAAAGTTGTATAAGAATAATAAACACGTTTAAATTAATAAAATAACATTATAATGTTTTGGGCTAGTACGAAATAATTATCGTACTAGCCCAAAACATGATTTTATTAGGCTTAGAGAATCATGCCAGATTCGGGCCCACTAAACTGTGTTCATTCAGTGAGCCCAATTCGGACCCCTAAGTCCAAAGCCCACTTAAAAAAGGAATCTTCAGTCTGACGAGACGGAATGCGTCTCGCTCAGTCGCTCGGGTCAGTCAATTCAAGCAAGTCAGTCAGTCGTTAAAGGTTTAAACTGCAAATCGAATCGACAGTATCTATCTTTGCTTTGCTAAATCGCAATTTGGTAATTTGTCCTTTTAATTGTTTGCACCTTGGTAAAGTAATGGCATTATTAAAACAAATTATTTAAGAAGATTAACAAAGGATTGGGAAAGACGACGCGTGCAAAGATGTTGATCCAGTAATGGATGCTGTTGCAAAAATACATACTTTGTATTTTTAATAAATATTTTGCATGTTGGGGGGTTTTCTTCAAAAACTTGTATGTTGAGGGGATTTCGGGTAAGTTTTGGGGGGAGGGCGAAATGGCTTTCTGATAACACTGCACCGGAGGGTGAAACGTTTAACGTTATAAAATATATCCTACATATTATGTCACACATGATTCAATGTTGGTATGTATTGGTAAACATCTTTCGAAGTCAAAACTGGGGCCCAATTCTCGCGGCGTAGATATTATATCGGCTTCGAGATAATATCGAAAGTAGGGATATCTATTGAAAATATCTACTGATGGTAAAAAATGCTATTCTCGTGGATTTTCGATATTCCAATGATATTATATCTATTGTAGATATTCTTTCACTACCGAATGCGTTCCGTTTTTCTCGATTAAGTTAACATCATAGTCTATATAAAATAATAATAAATTAGAGCAGAATTTTATAAGCAACAAAATGATATTTTATATTTTATGAATTCCATTCATATTAAATATGAGTATACATTTTTTGAGTATAAGAAATCTTAACTTTACCTAAATTATATACGCATAATTTCAACGTTATGTATAATGAAACGTCAATATTATTTAAGATTCTCCCTTTTCAGGGAAGGCAAAGGGAACAAAGCCCATACAGCTTAGTCTTTAGTTATATTAATCTTCTTTTTTTTACATTAGAATGTCGGTGTGACGCATTCTAAATTTCATTCCTTCGATAAAAGCCAGTTCATTCGATATATATCGAAGGTGATATAATATCTACGCCGCGAGAATTGGGCCCCTGACTCTGACTGTGTTTTTAAATAGGTATAATCAGTGCTCCTACTTTAATAGGTATAAGTAGGTAGATTTATTAAAGCCAATTGGCAGACTAATAGATGAACCTTGAGCCAAGAAAGATAAGGGATTTAATCCACCCACACGCAGTTGTTATTTCTCGTTATTAAGATTATTTCAATTTTATAGCGCAGTATAGGTTTATTGACCGCTGTAAATTTAAATAATATGTTTATTTGAATTACCGTAGCCCATACATAGTACTTAAATCGTAGTTTTTAATAAAAACTGTTATATGGAAACAATTGAACGTTGGTTTGCAAATTCAAAATAGAATTAGTCTTCCATAAAAAATTACGATCTACGGTGATTTACATAAAGATAAAGATGGCAATAAAACGTATTAAAGGTAATTAAACTTACTAAACTAAAGCTTGACTGTTACTGCCAAAAAAGTCAACTTGAAAATGCAGAACAAGTTCATAATATTAATTGCAGTCGGGGAACCTCACAGAAATGAATCAATCTCTTCGATTTAAAAGTGTTCTTTAAAATAGATTCTGAGATATAGAAAATATTCTCTAAAATAAAACCTCATTTCTGAATTCGATAGCTGCCATTTTAGACATTACTTTGACATGCATTACGCCATTATAGGGCAAAATGTTGCAAAGAATGTTTCAACATTGCAATTGCAACAAACAGCCAGTGATAGATATTTGGCAATTGTAAAAAATCCGAATAAATGATATCGTAACTGAGATATCTTAAAGAATCGACAAGCTGTCCTTTGTACAATGATTTTTTGAACTTGTTTGACATTTAATATAACGTTCTTTTGACAAGGAAGCAGTTTTAATTGTATCATTACAAAAATACTTAAATATTATTCATAAGATTGACGATCAATGTACTAGGTACTTTATCAGTAACTGTAAAACTGTAAACTTACCTACTTAAGTTAAATGCGGAAATAACCTTAACACTGACTTAAATAATACATAATAACTAAGCCATTGAACAATATTATTTATTTCGTTGATGGTCATGAGAATCACACTGATAACGCTATGACCGACAAGTAAAGAGGTCGCATGAGATGAGATTATTTTAATGAATTCGTTGAATTTCTATTTTTTCTTAATAGTGCTCTCAATTGCATATTATTATAAAATTCTTGTCTCTTTAATTTGAAAAGGGGTGGCAACAAGCATATTTCGCGCCTGATAGTAAGCAGTCTCCATAGTCTATTGACACTTGCTTGCGATAACAGAACATCACGCGCGCGTTGCCTGCTTTTGCACACCGTACCGTTGAGCCCTGGAACCTTACTCACCGAGAAGAACAGTACCCCTCTAGTATGAGTTTTAATTGTTTTCGAATTCGATCAATCGTATCGTCTCGTTTCCATACATTAACTAGCAGTGCCCCTAGTGTTAACTATCAAAAACAAAAATCAGCAGTATGAGTTTCATCGAGTCATCGTAAAACGAAAACTATTTTCCAAAGTTTTCGTATGTCGTTTGCATTTTGGCAGTACAAGTTACAACTTTGACAGCGCGTCATGAGTATACTACGACGCGACGTTTGATCGTATCGTTACTCGATTAGAAGCTTTCAGTGACGTTTTCGGCCATGTTTTTATGAAATCCAATAATGTTTTCGGTACAATATTTAGCTATCATGCTCGCTGAAGAGATTGACGAAGACCAGCGTGCACAGGTACGACGGGAATTATTAAAGCGCAGGCGATTAACTTTTATCACCGACAGGCATTTTGTACATATATATATTTATTAATTTTTTTCTTTACGGCCTTTGAGTCAACCATACCCAAACCATATGGTAACACATACAGCCAAGTTTCACACACAGATAAACGTAGGGTCTATACTCTTTGGACACAGATTAATAAGATTAAGTCTAGAGTTTTACATAAATTAGGTTTGTTTAAGGTTGAAGTGAATGAATGGCTCAGCTATCTCTTTTTTAGCAATAAAGAACGAAAGAGACAAAACTAAACAGTGTGAAGTTTGTTTAATCGAGTCATCAAACATACGATATCGTGAAGACGAGGAGTGACAACACAATTCGAAAATGTATAGTTTGATCGAATCGACGAAGACGATCTTTCGTTTCGTATTAAAAAAAACTCATACTAAGGGTACAGAGGTCCAAGAACGAACTTTGGCTGCTCCGTAATCGTATCGCATCGTCGATCGATCTGTCGATAAGTTCGTGCTTGCACTCAAAAGAATTATTTCATTGTGGTCTGTAATACCGGCCATACACACTACGAGAAATCGTTACGATCAAACTGTACAGTTCGAACGGAACAGTTTATACGATTTCGTTTAGTATAGGAAACTGTGCAGTTTTATAACATACACGCTACGATTTATCGGTACCGTTCGGACTGTACAGTCTAATCGTAACGATTTCTCGTAGTGTGTATGGCTGGTATAAGGTGGAGATTGCTTCCCTAGAAGAGCGCTCCAATTCGAGTACACAATACGCTCTGCTCTTCCTCTTTATTAATAGTTCTTTTTCGTTAATAATATAAGTGGTTACATGTTGCATTCGATTGCACGTAAATTTTATATCATCGTCGGATTTATAGTCAAACACGTTTTTAATGAACAGACAATGACGTATATGTCTACTTATTTTAATATTAATGATGTCACCGATGCCGATGCAAACATTGTGTTACAACAGTGGTTCTCAAACTTTTTAAATGACGGAACCCTTTTGGGAAGCAAAATACTTGATGGAACCCTACAATAAAACAATTATTTTTATAAGTGTATTCTATATTAATCAGCATAATAAAAGTACAATGTATCCGTTACTAATTATTATTTACTTCACCACTTGGTAAGGACAATAATAGAAAACATTAAAAAAGAAAAAATCTAACTAGTGGGAGGTATGAAACTGTTTTTTATTTTTCATCAATTGCTTGATATCAGGTTTGATGGAAGAAAGTTGGAGTCTCATATCAGCTTCGGCGTCCAGTCTATTGCGATATTTTGTTTTCGTGGCTGCGTAGGTAGAGAATCCTGTTTCGCACAAATATGTAGTTGGGAACGGGAGAAGAATATCCAGAGCCATTTGGCCAAGCATTGCATATTCATCTTGGATTCTGCACCAAAAATCATTAAGAGGCGTCGTTTTGAACAATGACTCCATACTTGTGTCTGATGACATTTCTAAAAGAGATTCATATATCTCATTTGACATGTTTTCAGGCTTTTCCAAGTTGGGTAAAAAAGGATTATGAATCCAGGAGTTCACTTTAATTTTTGTATTGTGTTCTTCGGGAAAATACTTTTCAAAAGATGCGCGCATCGAACTGAGATATTGGACCAATTCTTCAAACACATTATCTTCAAACATTTCTGAGTCGTTTTCGCTAACAAACTCAGTGAGTAACGTAAAACTTTCTATTTCTTTCTTACCAATGCAAATGATCCAAAAATCTAATTTTCTTTTAAAAGTAGTTATTTTATTATAGGCCTGAAACACTGTTGTCTGTTTACCTTGCAATGATAAATTTAATTCGTTAAGTTTTTGAAAGATATCCGCCATAAAAGACAATCGGAACAACCAAGTTTTATCATACAAACGATCCTTCAAATTAAAAGAAGTATCTGCTGAAAGAAACATTTGTAACTCGGCTCTAAGTTCAAATAGCCTTGTTAAAGTTTTTCCCCGAGACAGCCATCGCACTTCTGTATGGAGCAGCAGTGTTTTATGTTTGCTGCCATAATCTTCACACAATAATGAGAACAATCGGGATTGTAGTGGTCGTGATTTGATAAAATTAATTATTTTTACCGCTTCATCCATAACTAATTTTAGATTAGACGGCATTTGCTTCATCGCAAGTGCTTGTCTATGCAGAATACAATGACTGGAACTACAATTAGGCGCTTTATTTTTCATTCGTGACACTGCTCCTGCTGTTTTACCTGTCATCGCCTTGGCCCCATCTGTACAAATGTCAATGCAATTGTTCCAACTGAGATTATGTTCTTCAAAAAATATATTTATTTTATTAAAAATTTCTTCCCCGGTAGTGTTTGTAAGCAGCGATGAACACATAAGCATGTCTTCTTCAAAAGAACTTTTATATGGATATCTCACAATAACCAGCAGGATAGCCAAACCAGCGACATCAGTCGACTCGTCCATTTGCAAAGCGAATCGTGTATTTTGTAGACGTGTAACTAGTTCTTGTTTGACGTAGCTTGCCAGATCATGGATTCGTCGTGAAACAGTATCGTTTGATAGCGGAACAGTAGAAAGATGCTTTGCAGATTTTTCATCAAGCATACATTTTGTTATGTCTAATACACATGGTTTTATTAATTTCTCAGCGATAGTGTGCGCTTCACCTGCTTGTGCAATGCGATAGCTAACTAAGTATGATGCCTCCGTGGCCTTTTCGTTGGTAGTTTGTGTTACATGCATCATATTTTTTTGACTTTCTAATAACTGATCTTTTTTGCGAACAAAAAATTCTTTATTCTTGTCTTTAGTCTCGGGGTGTACGGTTTCTAAATGTCGACGCAATTTGGCAGGTGCCATGGAACTATTAGGAAGCAGTTTACTACAGAGCATGCAGAGAGGTGAGCCGTTGGAATCAACAAATCCGAAACTGATATAAGATTCATCATACTTCCTTTTTTTCGTCTTTGAAACCGTCGAGCTTGACGTCGTGGCACTCGTGGCATCATCTTCTGGATCGGTGATTGCTAAATTCTCCGCGCGCATTGCTTTTGAACATTCAGCGTCATTAGAAGATGTTGTTGGAACACGTTTAACACCTTTAAGCCAACGTTCCATTCTTCTTTATTTATAATGTTACAAGTCAGGATAGTGGGGTTTAAATAATGCACAATCGTTACTGCGTATAAGAGACTAAATTTAGAACCTACAGGGAAGAAATGTATAAAACTGAGACAACAGAATACAGCAGGCAGTAAAACAATGAACACCAGTTTCTCGCTAGCGAGCTTGTAAGTAGGTAGTAACTTATCGCTCCGAACGCTAATCATCAACTGACGACGCCAACGCGCGATCGCCGCTTTTATACTTAGTCCTAGACTCGATCTCAAATATTCTCGAAAATACTCGAGTCGGCACCTTTGATAAACAAAAAGCAAAAATAAAAACAGAAATTTAAAAATAGCGTTGTAAACAATATCGACTTTATCCTTTGAAGTTAGAGACGAAAGTCGCTAGTTGACAACTATAGCGTCTAATTCAGAGGCGGCTTTTATCAAAGAGACTGAGCGCTTACAAGTATACTACCCGCTCGTTTTAAGTTTGCCGCTGGCGATAGGTATGAGTGTATGACGTTCGAAATTTTTTATTTAATTGTAACAATAAAAATTGTGTACGTTAGATATTTGGGTAAAACTATGACACATTATAAGTTTTGTTGTCACGTGGGGGAGGGTACGCGCATTCCACAGACCGGCAAACTTAGAGCGAACGCGTTGTACAAGTATAAAATTGTTGAGACCAAACTTATGAGATATTGTACCAGCTAATGTAACACAAGCTTATACAAATACAAATAAATAAATAAATAACATTCATAGCGTTTTGTCTCCGCGCGGCCGCGGAGTCCGCACAGCCGCGGAGCGACCAGAGAGAGGTGTTTTGATTTTTTTATTTCTAAATTCTTGCGGAACCCCGACAGAGGTATCACGGAACCCTAGGGTTCCGCGGAACACACTTAGAGTATAGCTGTGTTACAATAACAACGGGTACCTAGATATTTATCGATAGAAAAATATAGACTTATATACAGGATTTCTCAGTAAATAATATGAAATGTGCCATCTATAATTGAGTTATAACTTGGGGAGTGATAAATTTGATAGGGTAACTTTAAGAAGACGAAACCAAATTAGACCCGAGACAGAGAGTTATATAGAAATGGTTATTTTGTACCGCAATCCCATAATAGACTTTTACTAAAATTTTCAGGTAAGACGTTACAGAGTCGAAATATATGTCGCAGAGGGATCAGTGAAAAACAGTGACTGGTCTCTCAAGTACAAGGGTTCTCCTGGTTGCCTTTCCCAGTTGGAGGAAGTACTCGGGGAAGGATTAGGTGCCTCAGAAGAGAACTCGCCATGTCTCATGGCAGTGAATATTAAAACCGATGCTGTGAGTAAAGTAAGTATATATTTTAAATATATAAGTCACAAACTTTTTGCATGAAATGATTCCTAGGAATAAATCTTAAAAATTTCTATTTTTCTTTGAATTTGAAATTACTACGATTTGTAATTTCGTTTCGATTTGTAAATCGTTGTAATTTCACTAAAAACGCATTCTGTTCGGAATGTTATTTCCAACTTTTTAATTTATTAATTTGAACTTCGTACCGCTTATAATAACTTGGAGTTCTTACCGTTTAAACCTTTCCTGGATTACGACAAACATTTTAAAACCAAAATCAGCTAAATCTAACTAAATTGGCCCAGCCGTTGAGTTAAGCGATACAAACGAACCGTATAATTTTTACATATTATGTATATACATACTTTTAACCTTGGATCAAATAATTTTATTTCTTTTCCATAGTGATCATTTTTTTATTATTCTAATAAGCTGTTTGATTTAATACACTATCGGCTGATCATAATAGTCTATCTCCGATAAGAGGAAAACTTACCAGAGGCTCAATCACGAATTTTTTGACAGTTCCGTAACGTATCGCGTCGTCAAAGTTTGAAACTAAGCAGCATTAGTAGTAGTTAATAATAGTGAAAAAATATTGTATAAAATATTATAATCGAATATTTTGTGTCCGAGTCGTCACCTACTCAAGTATAAGAACACGTTTACTATGACCAATATCATGATTCATTAGGAATTCTGTCTTCAAATAATGTTTATCGGATTTCCAGTACATAACTAATATTTATTTCTATTCGTGTAGTCGCTTGAATTTTACTTATCACGCTGCTTTAACCAGGTTAAGTCACGTGCTAATCAATGCTCTCACTTAATTTAATACACGAGGACTGCACTGCCCTCAGCGTTGAGGTTATCCATAATATATTATAACAAATAAAGAATACACGTCTCTGATATCGCTTTGATTTCAAAATAATGAACGTGCTGAACTACATGATAGTAAACCCGTATAGAACTTTACGTTAACTTGAACTTTATGTCACTAGGAAATGAGAAATAATTACTACCCGTTCGTCCGTGATCCCTCTTACATTCTGTTTTGTATAGTACATAGTGTTTTCTTTATATCATGTTCATATTTTCAAATGACGTTTGGAGAAATAACTCGGCAGTTTTTCCTTAATTTATAATATGGAGGATAGGGGGCGTGAGGAGCTCGATGACCTATAATGCGATTCAAATAAGAATAGGAAAGCCAATGACCTCTATCTGTCAAACGTCGCTTGAAAAGTACGGTTTGCAATAAAAAACTTGGAACCCTTTTTTAGCACTCCGCTAATTCAAGAATAAAAACCAAACATTTGTAAACAAACAATAACAAATATTGATAATTAATATCGATTGATATTCTTTTTTTCACTTATTGAGCTTTGGCCACGAATGGTTGATAACCTAAATCGTCAATCAAATGTCACTTTAAGTTGCGTTCGGTAACTCAATTTAAAACTTTCGTTTACATATAGGATGCATGATAATGAGGGCGAGTAAGAATCAGACCTTCAGTGACCTAAGATATGCTGACGTCATATAAGTGGACTTCAACTCGTAGCTTGAGTAAAAGTAGAATGTATGGTTACAGTCTGACCACGATAACTTTGCAGAGTCAATAATCTGGTCACACCAGAAAAACTTGGTCTGGCAGCCTTTTTTAGACGTCGATGATACATAAATATCATGTCTTGCAAGATTTTTCTTTTGAAGAACATTTATTGAATTATTTTTATATTAAAAAACAGAAAAGTGGAGTTAAAGTGTAATTTTATAAAATAATAAGTCAATCTGCAACGGAACAAATGGAGTCGGGTCTTATGCAAAAAAGCAATGTTATGAAGAAATCCTGACGTCAACAAGTGAGTTTCAATCAATTCCTTGATATTTGTGTATTGGTATTTTTATTTACATTTCAACAATTACATTCTATACCTATATAATTACAAAAAATGTTTAAAAATATTAATTTGTAGTAGTAATTGTATAGCCAACAGTTTTGAATTACGTTAATTGAAAATTTGTTCCATTTAAATATAAAGGTACTTTATATACAGATAATTCGAAATAATTTGCAGAGTTGAAAATTGACCAATATGAAGGAATTAAAGTTCCGGATTCGTAACTATCTTTCGGTGGTTAACAGAGTGATTAACAATTTGAGAAAGAATCATCGAAATCGATCTTGGAAATATGCGCAAACTACACTATAAAACAAATTTTGACAAAAACAGTTTTTTTTTTCAATAATCCAAAAACGCAAAATAAAATCGACTAAATGTGGCATGCTAGGAGTAATTATTATTAACTCCTAGCTGAAATGCATTTCCCGTTTAATGTTTCTTAAAATAAACACAATATAAATATTAAAATAACCAAACACAATATAAATATGTACTGAGTGTAATTGAGGACTTTCTCTGTTTCGCCTCCCAACAGATCTTAACCTAATTAATATGCAATGAAATAATCCTGTAATTAAAACTATTAGGTAGCTTCAATTCAGTATTTGTTGTTTAAATAAAGCTTTTGAAATTGAAATGTGCTATATGCACATCATATACCAAAATTTCACATTCTTAACTAGTTTCGATTTTGAGATAGACCCCGTAGCAAAAACGGTTTAAAAATTACAACTTTCGCGATTACCCTTGTCTTTAGTGTACAGTAAGTGCATTGTGACTAATATTGAGTGTTAACTGTGTAGTGAATAAAGAATTGTCAAGCGTGAACTGCCATTATACTTTTGAACCCTGTCCTGAAACGTAACAATATTTATATCCTATTCAATAAATTTATAAAATATGAAATAAATAATAAAAAGAAAATAAAAAAAAATATCAGGTTTATTCAATTGAACTATAATCAGTACTGCCATGTGCTTTGTTTGAATTTTTACTATTGTCAGTCCACTGCAGAGCTTTCGTGGTCCGACTTTTGTATTGTTTTGGGAAAAAATACATGTTTTATTCTCTATCCTCTAACCTTTGCACAATTTTTACGGAGAACTGACGATGAGTGAACCTTTAATTCGGTGAACAACATGCAGTCAAAATTAATTAGGAAAACCGCAGAAAAATATTGATTTAACGACTGTTCTTTTCACTGCTAAATTACCTCTATGAGTAACATTTCGAAATGTCAATTAAAATTATACGTCTGTATTTTATATTATTGTGATTGTAAGTATTAATTTTTATTTTCTTACTAGCGGACGCCCGTGACTTCGTCCGCGTTAATTCATAATATCTATACATTTGTTTCTTAGGTTTTCACGCGCATTACTCATTAAATAAAACGGTTTTTACGGGTAATAAGCACTGAATTTATTTATCTGAAGTTTCGCAGCCTTTTCAGGACTGCGTCGCGTCTTCAGGAATAATGATTTTTTATTTAATTTGTCGAGCTACCTTCGAAAGATTTTATTGAGTGTTCGGATATTTCATTGGAAGATTTTTAAAAACTTTATTGTCTGTGCTTGATATTATTAGCTAATTTAATGAATAAAGTAATTTATTTAATTCTTTTTAACTAAGTTAACTACCGTAAACTACCACCGGTTAAAAAAATTGGGGGACCTTTCTAAGAAGAACCGGTGAAATAAACTCAGAGAGGCTTTCGATCTCCCTCTTATGTTAAATTATGCAAACAAAAAGAACTAACAGTGTCTATTGGTCTTGCAGTGTGTGCTCGTGGTTGGGATATTATCTGTTGTATAATGGGTTCACAAGCTGGTGGTATATACCAACCATCTTCCCTATTGAAATTTGGAGATTTCTTAATCTCAATAGCTTCGCGTATCATTCTAGGAATGAATCATTGTTCAGTTGCGAGGATCTGTGGTTTATCAAATCTAATGTAATGGTTTGGTCCCCCTAATGTATGTTCACACACTGCAGACTTATTTTCGCACCTATGTTTCATATCTGCGGTTTCATATGTTCTTTAACCCGAGTCCCTATACTCCTCTTTGTTTACCCGATGTAGGAGAGCCCACAGGCGCATTCAAGTTTATAGACACCAGCAACTTGAAAGGTTATATCGCACTTGACGGGTCGCAAAAACTGGTTGATCTTCTTTGGCGGCTTGAAGTAAGTGTTGATCGAAGCACGCTTCAGAATCCTCCCAATCTTGTCAGTGACTCCTTTCATTTAAGGTAGTACAGCAGGTTGTCGGTCGACTGTGCTAGGTTTGGAGCGATTGTGACGGCGACGTGGAACATTCAGATTATTTTCCGTCAGTACTCGCTCGACATGCTGAAGTTCAGCTGCCAGATGTTGTTTGTCACAGACACCCCGTGCTCTCTGAAACAAAGAGTTGCCTACGGCAGTTAACTGTTTCGGGTGATGGTATGAGTCACCATTGAGGTACTTATCAGTATGTGTTACTTAAAGATACTCAGTATGGCTTAAACTTTGGTCAGGATTCCTGATTAATAAAATATCTAGAAAAAATAGTTTACTATCTGCCTCTAACTCCATAGTGAATTGGATGTTAGGGTGTATGGAGTTAAGGTGATTTAAAATGATAAAAAATTAGTATCAGTATATGTATTCTATCCGTTACCCTAGTATCCCATAAAACAAGCCTACAGTGCTTACTTCGGGGCTAGGCTAATTGGTAAAATAAGAAAAATAAAGAATATCCACTTATAACAAAATAAAATCTAATTACGATTTATGGAAAAAACTTATATAAATCATATTGCAGCATACAGAAATCAACCAGCAACATCTATATCAGCATTAATAATAATAATGCTTATTATACCTAAACAACTTTTGTAACATGTTTTTTTATCTTCTCACATTTATGTTAAGTTTATTTATGGACGAGTGTACTCTTTTCTGGAGTGACCGAAACGGTGTGCAGAACTTTGAAATACCTATCACAGTTTTTTTTAAATTATGGATAGAGGGCACCTGGGGTGGGGGATTCCTGGGGGTCGGGGTCAGTTAAGGACAGCTTCCCAGGAGTGGTACAAGAGACGGGGGCTCCTAGGAGATTGAGCACACGTGGTCACGGGGGCACTTGGCAGTGGGGTTTGTCGGGAGTCCGGAACACCTAGAGGTTGGAGATTGCGGGTGTCGGGATCACTTGAGGTATATGGTGGAAATGGTTTGCAAAAAGGAACATCGTTTGTATGTAGCGCTTTTTCAGTAACCTTCATCTTTCTTATCCTACCGTACCTACCTACCTTACCCCGATACTACAGCCAGATTGAGCAAAATATTAAACATACAAAGGAGAATACCAGATTTTCATAGAAAGTTAGGTCATGATTGCGCTTCAATGAAGTTTGTCCCTAACAATAGGGAAATGGCTATGAATTAAGAAGGGAAAATATCGTCAGATTATGCTATACAAGTTTAAAGAAATCGTATCATAATGTTGTAAATTGGGGTTATAATGTACCACAATATTTGACAGATTATTGATAACTGTCATGAAAAGGTACATTCCTTCCATACGTGAAGTCAAAGGGAACAAAACGTCCATTCAACCTAACTGTTTTAATGTTGACAGCACAGACTACTTTATACTAGTCAAGTTGACACCATGGACGAAGCATCGAAATCCGTTACAGATCACGAATATTCATTTTCTGATCCAACAAAAAATAGGAAAGACTTGGCGAACTGCACTCATATTGACTTTTATTGTTTAGTTTTATGGCGACACTTTGATCTTTGTTTTTTGCTGTTTGTTAACTTGACATCTGTCTGTTCATGGTCTGTTCTTTTCATTCCTTACAAAGCATGATATAGACTGTAGACAGAGAAGTTTATAGACGACTGCCTATCTTTCTTTTCATTCAAACGAGAAAGACAAGTACTTATGCAAACATACGGTGATGAAGTAGGATAAAGCTTATTAATTTTTTGATTCACTAGCATGGCCGACATTTTCAAGGTCAGCACACTGTGTGCTAAACAAAGTTGACACTTTATTCCTGACATTATTCAAGTGCCTGTGAAAATATTATTAAAAACTGTTAAATCTGCTTACGAGCCTAATGAAAGTTACTATAAACTCTATACTTTTTCTTTATAATTTCATAAGAATATGGATCTATGTTGTGTTATTACATGCAAAAAGTGATAGTGAACGTGAACTTGTTCGCTTATCTCTCCACTCGTAAGTATAGTGTATTTTTGTATAGTTTGTGTTCTTGAAATGTATTTTATTGAATAGAATTCTTTATTATCTAGACCAAAGAATGAGATTATTGAAATTATTCATAACCTAAAAATTATTTCGTATTGTGTTACCAACATTACCCATCGAAGTTCCCTAAAAACCTCGCAGTATTATTTCAAATTGCTTTAAACTTCTTGCATTATTTTTGTTTATTTTTTTAAAGAATACTATTTTTTATATCTGTTTTTTTATAAATAAATAATCCAGTCTGTGGCAGAGTATTGGTCTTCTTTTACATATGCTTCTATTTTAGTCACACAAGTTAACATGGTAGAAGAGTTACTATTCTGACTCCTTATAAACGAAGTAGCTATATTCAGCTACACTACATTGTAAATAGATCTTAGCAAGTAATAATGTGGACATAATATAATATTAAATATATTGTTATAGTTTTCCATCAATCAATGATATAAGGAAGCAATGGATTGAAGCCACGGGTAGAATAAATTGGCAATAAAAAAAACATCACGGATTTGCAGTATACATTTTGACAAAGAATTGTTGATATGGAAGAATATGCTAACATTTCTAATGCCTAATGCCGTTCCTCAGCAGCTAAGCAAAATGTAACATTTTTGCTTTTTAGCTTCAATAAAATAATTCCGTTCTTCTAATTTGGTTTTTACTATAAGTTTATTTTCATTTCAATTTAAAAAAAAATATGGCTCTGGTGTAAGAATGTTTTATTATGTAACCAGTTAATTTATAAGTGCTAAAAATATAAACATGTAAAGAAATGGGCATAGGCAAGTGAATCATGTATAAAATATCAAACTGATTTCCGATTGAAAAAATAATATCGCATTTTGTATCATGAAATATAATTTATATGTGTGTGTATTAAGATTATAATAATAATAATAATTTCTTTATTTCAGGCAAAAGACCCATATGACAAAATTGATAATATTTATTAAATTTGTTTCATTTATTTATTCATAAATCTTAAAGTTTCATAAACAATCATGGTCTGTTCGGGTATAGGCCACCTCCAATTAATCAGAAGAACTAATATTTTTTTCAAAAGAATTGTAATGTCTAAGGGGCAAACAAATTCATAATCATACGAAAACGTAACGTAAGTAGGCATAAACGTCACTCAACACTTCGTTCCCCACACCGGCGTCGTCCTCGAGCTCTTCCGAGCGACTGAAACTCTGAAAGTTAGGCGAATGTGTGGACGCGAGCACGATCATGGGCGCGAATTCCTTTGATGTACAGACAGCGAGCCGTTAAGCTCGAATACGGGCCAGCCAACTTCGCCCAATGTGAAGACTGGCCTTTAAACTCAAAATATGGGAAAATATTTTATTATGGTAACACTTCATATCTATCAGTCTATCTCACAAGCGGCACGGTTACTAATCGTCTATACACTTCTCTGTCTACGATAAAGACAGACTGTTGTCAAGTTTACGAATAGCAAATAAGAATAACCAAGTGATGTGCTTGCATTGTATAGGTGAAGCTCACCAAAGTAAAATCACACATGGTCACATTTAAATAATTTCACTAAAATTTATTATTACTCTTTGATTAAAACTGCTAAAACATTAATTGAAAAATGTTCTACTTATCATACTAGATAGTATCTACTGCCGAGAGAATTATGACGTACAATAGAACATGTCATAATGAATATTTCATTTTTCTATCTATCTTAAGTTGTTATCCTATTGTAATTTTATCAAATTATTAAATTAATTTTTGTTTACTTTTATTATAATTTGCAATGCCCTTGCAGGGCTCATGTTTGCGAGCTGTTGTTAGATTTAAGAACTAAATGTAACCAACAAGAAGCAATAAATATTATGACTATTATTAATATTTTTCACTCCTATAGCAAGTCATTTTAAAATGAAAATGAAGAAGAACATAATTTTTAAGCAGACAACTACAGGTTTACACATTTAACATTAAAAATGTTTTTTCGTTCGCTCCAGTAGGCCCCCATTTTCGCTGAAAGTGTGACTCGCCCGTGATACCCCGAGGTTTAGGGCCACGAGGACATAAAATATGAGGGCTCAAAAGACGCGAAATTTGAAGGACTTGAGTATGGAAAAAATATTTTGGAAATGTCAAAAACTGCTTGGGAAATCGGGGCCGAATTTTAAAAATATAAAAAAACACCTCGGTATTGAACCAAGGAACATTTTAGGTCATTAAACTTTTTTCGATATTGGTGACGGTTGAGGCTGTAGAGGTGCCCTTAGCCGCGATTTTGCGCGGCGTGAGGTGCGATGTCACGCGGCGGGCGGCTTGAGTGCGGCCACGACGACGTATGAGAACTTAAAAGACACGGAATTCGAAGGGCTTTAAGATGATATATACATTGTGCTATTACGTAAAAATTTACAATACGAAGCCTTAATTCAAAAGCACTTTTTTGAGGCACATTTCATTAATTGCGAAATAAAGCCGAAATGTGTCATTCTCTTTTCACATCTATAATATTATAGTAGTATAGTTGTACTTTCCTTTATTTACTACTAGTGGCCCGCCCTCGCTTCGCTTCGGTGTAAATCTGTAGTGTAAACTATAGTTTTTGTTCTCAGGCTTGTGCTATAAAGAATGACTTTATTTATATAATTACACGTGTTATTGTGAGTCAACCATAAAAGATAGACATATGCTGTTGCAGGATATTTTTTAGACAATTTTATGTAGAATATTTCCGTAATACATGATTTCTATGTAACTTTAACCATTAAGCCTGCACCCGCTACGGAAGCTTAAAAAATGGAGTAACTTCTCCCGTTTTCCCAACATTTCCCTTCACTACTCTGCTGCTATTGATTGTAGCGTGATGAAAAGTATACTATAACCTGCCCAGGAGTATGAAGAATAATTGTACCAAGTTTCGTTAAAATCCGTCGAGTAGTTTTTGTTTCTATAAGGAACATACACACAGACAGACAGACAGACAAAAATTTTACTGATTGCATTTTTGGCATCAGTATCGATCACTAATAACTCCCTGATAGTTATTTTTAAAATATATTTCATGTACAGAATTGACATCTCTACAGATTTATTATAAGTATAGATGACCATCTTCTATTATTTTGATATTACAGGGCCGTTTGCTAGGCGTCGCCTGTATAGTTGCGGGTGATTATCAGATGTCAGTAGTGGAATTCACAGATGACGATCTATTGACCGAGCTTGAAACCATTACAGTACAAATGGCACCATCTGAGTGCCTTGTGCCACAAACTGAAAATGATGATGTAAGTATTACCCAATATTTTTTATACCTAATTCCTAGTACAGTGGCCAATATGTCGAGCTATCTAAGATTATAGAATATCACGGCCAGTTTCAATAATAATCAACCTCTAGAAAAAGGTAAGATAATCTGGTTCCGTTTCTTAGCTTACAGTTATTATAGTCATATGCTTATTCCACACCCGCTTTGGTACTTAATTACACCAAAATTAGCGTTCGAACTATCAATTAAATACTTACGGTTCTTCAGCTGCACTTACAAATTTTTCTTCTTCTACAACCTTTCGTCTAGCGTCTATAGAAACGCAGCCAGCTAATTCATAACGACACAACAAACTTTTTGCGCATTTAGTACCAAAGCCACCCGAAGCTTCGTCGCGCAGGTGTGGGAGAAGCGTTAATAATAATACCTAGAGAACAAAACTGAATAACAACTTAACTTTTACTAGAGGTTGATTATTGAAACTATTCATTAGTGACTGCGCTTTATCTATCTTGAAATAAGACAGTCATTTGAGAAAATGGGTAACAGTTTTATCTAGCTTTCAATAAGATTCATAGTCATTTGCGAAAATTTGCAACAAAGTGTATGGTTTCTAGGTGTTAGAGCCTGTTTCAGTATTCCTGTTGTTAAACCTTTTTTTACATTGTTAAATGTTTTCTTTGATTAGATACACGTCTAGCGACGAGCTACTTTAAATTTATATCTACCATGTTATGTAGTAGATATTTTTGGGGCATTTTCGTGAAGTTAACACGTTATCTAGGCGTGTTTAAAAGCAAAGTCATAGTATAGATTAGTAATCAAATTATTTTCTTCAATTAAAGTACAAAGCTTTAAAGCAAGTGATGGCCAGAGCTGGGGTTACAATAACTAAGTTGAAAAAGGGCGAGTTTTCCACCGAAGGCTTACATCAAGACTTGACCAGGCTGTTGAAGTTCAAAGAGAATCAACAACAAGACGCCAACGCATTCCCTGAGACTAGGAAGGAAAATGCCATGTCGAGTTTAGCCGCTGCCATTAAATATAATTCATTGTTGAACGATAGCACCAACTTCGGAAGGCGAGTAGAAAGCGAAAATTAGAAGTTTGTTTGCTTCATTTTATACCAACCTTAAGGCGCAATTACATTTGGTGTTTAGCTCGAATACAGTTACCTTTTTTGCCTATGGAATTCGGACAAATGACAAGTGTAAATAAACAGGGTCGAGTAGGCCCGTATTCGTTTTGGTTTCCCCCCATCTGACATTACTGAGGTATGTTCCAAATAGAAGGCGGGTGCAGGATCGTATCCAATGCAAAAATGTAAATATTGCATTAGATGTAAGAAATGTCTTTCGTGCACCCGAATACGGGCTAACGACCAAGTGTAATTCCGCTTTTATAAGCAGATACCTAGAAATAACAGTCCCCTACAAAGTAGGAGTGGCTAGAAAACAAATTGTACCAATTTAGGTTTTTCACATTTGTATTTTTGACTTATGTTTTTGAATTTACACCCGTAAAAAATTTCAGATTTCGTATATCAACGATCCAGGCGGATTGTTTTCTACATTTAGACGCGGCCGCGCTATCAGCTTTGAATGTATTTCCTGAACTAGGCGATTCTTCGCACACACCCTCTAGGAGTTTGTACGGATTGCTCGATAGATGTCGCACGCAGCAAGGAAAGCGGTATTGTTTTAATTTACTTGTTTTCTACATTTTCGCGCACCACAATCGTTGAATAAAAATACTTTTTGAACGGCTTTGAAGTGCCGTTGATATTTAACATTATTTTCAGTCAGTCTTTTAACCTAGAGTCTTAACAGAAGCCGAAACATCAACAATACCTACCTAATATGAAAACCTTCACAATAAAAGTATAATATGCTTTGTTTAGATACACGCCTAGATACCGCACTAAATGCACGGTAGCACAATACATACAAGAGCAGTACTTTGACTTCATACTAGCGCCCGAATCGACGCACGCACACAGACAAACGTCATTTACATGGCCGCTAACCAATCTTGGCTAGACAAATCTACGCAGTGCCACGTCGCGCACCGCGCCGGGACTGGTCAATAAAAAATTCAATATCGTTTATTCAGTCTAGGCTGTTACAAGCACTTGTGAATGTCGAAAAGCTACGCCATCGGTTCGCAAATCTACGGCGGGAGACCTTGTACTGAGAAGAACCGGCAAGAAACTCAGCAAGGGCTGTTTTTTTCTCCCTGTATTATATACAGAGTCGTCAAATTGAAAAATGACTTCAATATGAGGTAACTCATAAAGTCACTTTTCATTACAAACAAAAAAAATGCAAATAATATAAAAATTATGACTATAAAATAAAAAATTAAAATATGTAAAAAAAATGATTTAACAAAGTTTAGGAATGACGTGTCCTACCGCTTAGGCAAAAAGAAAATAATAATAATGAACGATTAAAGTTTAGAACAACGATTAATAGTAGTACCCAGTGAATTAAGAGCAGACTCATCTCCGCTGGCAGCACCCGTTCACGAGCATGACGCATGAACCAGCCATCGCTTCGCTCAACCATTTTTTAGGGAACGCAACGACCCGCCTCACACGACACCACCGAAGAGATTTTTAAGAGAGCATGACTACTCATAACCACACATGGATACTATGTTACTAAAATAGAGAAAAAAAATACATATAGGTACCAGTGTACATTATTATAACAAACTATAAACACAACGGCAGGACACATGCATGTGATTACCTAAACACTGTTGTCGACCCTGGCAATACTCTCCCAACCCAAAACCAATCAAACATCAGTCCCCCCCTTTCAGTCTGTATAGAGAATGACAAGGATACACCACTGCAAAACCAAGTTCAGGTCTAGAAAAACATACCAGAATCCACACCGCCATTAAATCTTTATCAGAGAAATAATATATGTTCACTTACATTTTGATTGCTGTGTCACACAGTATAAATACAAGTTGTGTAATGTAAAATACAATCAAAAATTAATAATAATTATCATTACAATAATAAAGTAGTATAGAGCAGACTCATCTCCGCTGGCAGCACCCGTTCACGAGTATGACGCATGAACCAGCCACCGCTTCGCTCAACCATATTTTAGGGAACGCAACGACCCGCCTCACACGACACCGCCGAAGAGATTTTTAAGAGAGCATGACTACCCATAACCACTAAAACCAATCTGCAAAATGGTTACTTAGAGTTAAGGTAATTTATCTGTACGACACTGCAAACAAATACAAAACAATTTTGCAGTTACAGCCATGCAGTTTTGTCATTCAAGTATTCTTTAATAGTATAATAGCCTTTCTTAACTAAACAACTTTTAATGTGACATTTGAACTCATTTATGGGTAACTCAAGAACAGCATCAGGAATTTTATTGTAAAAATGTATACCTTGACCCATAAAAGATCGGTAAAGCTTCTGTAACCTGTAGGCTGGCAATGCAAGCTTGTTTCTATTCCTAGTATTAAAATTGTGTACGTTACTGTGTTTGGTATACAAATTGATATTATTTTTAACGAGGAGTATGCAATTGTAAATGAATTGAGAAGCAACAGTCAAAATGCCAATTTCTTTAAATTTTTCTCTAAGAGATGTTCGGCTACTCAATTGATAAATAGATCTCACAGCTCTTTTTTGCAAAATGAAAATACTTTCAATATCAGCTGCTGTTCCCCAGAGTAAAATGCCGTATGATAAGATACTATGAAAGTAACTAAAATATACAGTCCTGGCAGTATCTATATCAGTAAGTTGTCTTATCTTTCTTACGGCATAAGCTGCTGAACTAAGTTTACCAGCCAAAAGCGTAATGTGATGACTCCATTGCAGTTTTGAGTCTATCGTTATACCCAAGAATGTAGTCGAGTCTACTAAATCTAATTTTTCATTATTTAATTTAATTCCAATATGCTCAACTTTTACATTAGGTAAGGAAAATTGAATACACTTGGTTTTATTAGCATTTAGCTTTAGATTATTGACATTAAACCATTGCAGAACTTGAGAGAGAGCATTATTTACATCGTCATAGTTGTTTTTGCGCCTGTCAACGTTAAATAATAAAGATGTGTCATCAGCAAATAATACAATCTCACACAAATTTTCCACAAAAAATGGCAAATCATTTACATATATTAGAAACAGGAAGGGACCTAAAATTGAACCCTGGGGAACGCCCATTTCCACATGAGATCCAGATGATCTAACACCATTTACCTCTACAGTTTGTATTCTGGAACTGAGGTACGACTGTATCAATTTATATGCAGTACCTTTGACTCCATAATGACTCAATTTCAATAACAGCGTGTGATGATCAACGCAATCAAAAGCTTTGGATAAGTCGCAGAACACTCCAAGGACATTCTGCGACCTCTCCCAAGCCTCCAATATACTCCTTACAAGTGCAACACCCGCATCAGTAGTAGATCTACCTCTAGTAAAACCAAATTGTTTCCTATGCAAAAGTTTATTAAGGTTGAAATGAGGCATCAATTGTTCCAGAATAATTCTTTCAAATATTTTACTAAGAACCGGTAATATTGATATAGGCCTATAGTTTCCAGGGTCATTTCTATTTCCTGATTTAAAAAGAGGTATAACTTTACTGTATTTCATTAAATCCGGAAATACTCCTTGATCAATACAGTTATTAAATATATCAACTAGATAAGGAGCAATAACGGGTATTATACTTTTAATAACTTTAGTAGAAATACCCCATAAATCACTTGTATTTTTTTGTTTAAGAGATTTAAAACACTTAATAACATCAATAAAATTAATATGTCTGAACTGAAACACGTTATCACACCTAGGTACATATTTCTCGAGCAAAGTCTTGGCAGCCACCGATGAAGAACTTAAATTAGATGTAGCCACCAAAGGAATATTAACGAAATATTCATCAAAAATATTAGCGATATGTTGTTTAGATTTTATTAACATGTTATTCGACTTAAGTTCAACAATATCGTCACGTGACCTTTCTTTGCCTGTTTCACGATTTATAACATTCCACGTTGTTTTGATTTTATTATTCGATTTACATATTTTATTTTTAATAAAATTAGATTTGGCTGTTGCACATACCTTTTTAAAGGTTTTAGAATAACATTTAACGTAATCAATAAAACCTTGTGAATGATTATATTTTCTTAGATGATACAATTCATAAAGTTTGTTTCTACTTTTATAGATACCAGTCGTAGCCCAGTCACAGAACTGTAACTTTGGAGTAAGTTTCGAAGTTTTTAAGGGAAAAGCCTTATCAAATTCATTTCTTATTAGATTAAAAAGATCCCCAAAAAGAATATCAGGATCATCATGTGTCCACGGGATATGAGAAATACTATAGTCAATGTTTTTTTGAAAAATTTCTAACCGGTTTTCTGTTACTGGTCTCAATTCAATCACTTTAGATTCATTTGTTACATCTATTTTATATTGTATTTTTAAGCCATAATGGTCAGATGTAATACTATTAAAAATGGATTTATTATCAGGAGTACTATCTGTAAATACGTTATCCAAACAAGTTGCTGAATGTGATGTCACCCTAGTAGGCTCAAAAAATTGATGGGTCAAATTAAAACATTTAAATAATGATATTATACGTACTGACATTGAATCATCGGTCGTTGGCCGAGTTAAGTTAGCTGCGCTGCGCTGCCCGCGCCGTCTGCCTCCGTTTCGATTCCGTAACGTGGCAATAGTACTTGGCACTAATATAAAATAATGGCGGCGTAAATTTTGTATTTACAAACACTAGCGCTCCGCTCAGTCGTAGGTATCTATTTCAAGAAAACGGCTGAGTTACGCTACTGCTCTTGTATGTATTGTGACGTCACAAAAATACCTATTACGATGAGCTTTTATCTACATTAAAAGCTCGTCGGCTATGCACGCACACGTTGACTGCTTTCAAACAATTTGACATTAGAGTCACGCAAATTACGGAATTGAGCCGTCAGGTAGGGTTTTTAAAAACTAAACTTTAAATTATAACTTTATTTATTTAAATGTTTTACAAAATTACTTATACTAATTGATCCCGATGATCCGGTCTTACAAACTATACGTCAAGATGCTTCCACGATTGAAGCTCAAGCAACTCCCAAAACTGTCCGAAGGTTTTACATTAACTAAATCTGTCTAATAAGTACTTTTCAACACGATTGCTCAATCGAGCCACCTGCAGTCCTGCACTTGGGAAACACATAATGTACGCGTGACGTATGAGTGACGTAGACGAGTCTTGTACTCGTAACACCTTCCCTCCTAGATGAGCAACTATTTGCGAAGATTGAAAGCAAATGTTGCGGCTTTTCTTTCTTCGGTGGATGGTGTAGAACCCGCTGATGCCATTTCCATCTCTTGAGGCTGTGTAGATTTAACTCGCTGTTGGTTCTTACGCCGTCTCAGTAGTAAGCCACACTAATGAGTGCAAGTGCACTTAACAGTATGATGACGTATGTAGGTGTCGTGGTGTGATATAAGCTGGATAAATCCACGGTGTTAATTCTAACAGGTGGGTCCATGAGTAATTGATGTTGAATATTGTGTAATTTGTTCAAATCAATTGTTGTGAAATTATAATGTGGTAAGTTGACATCGGAGTCGAATGTGGGAATGTTATTATTTCAACAGGTTGCCCACG